ACGGGGCCGCCCCCCAGCCGGCCTCAGCCTGTCCCCTTCTCTGCCAGGGGGTGTCCGCGGGGGTTGGGACAACCTGCTGGCTGTGATCCCGGGAGGCTCCTCCACGCCGCTTCTCCCCAAGTCGGTGTGTGAGACTGTGCTGATGGACTTCGATTCCTTGGTGCAGGCGCAGAGCGGGCTTGGCACAGCGGCCGTCATTGTCATGGACAAGTCGGTAAGGGACAATTCCTCTCCCTCGTCCCCCGCGTGCCCTAGCAGGGCTGGGAAGGGCGCTCAGCATCTCCTCCTTCCTCCTCTAGACTGATATCATTAAAGCTATCGCCCGCCTCATTGAGTTTTACAAGCACGAGAGCTGCGGGCAGTGCACCCCGTGCCGAGAAGGTGAGTGTGGGGCCGTGTCAGGTGGCGAGGGCTGCCAGGGCAGCGGCCACAGGGTTGTCGCAGCTCGTCCCTTTCCACAGGCGTTGACTGGATGAACAAAGTCATGGCCCGGTTCGTGCAGGGCAATGCACAGGTAGCGGAGATTGACGCGCTGTGGGAGATCAGCAAGCAGATCGAGGGCCACACCATCTGCGCGCTGGGCGACGGCGCTGCCTGGCCCGTGCAGGTAGAGCGTTTGGACCGGAGGCAGGACACTATGGGGGGCAGCGGGGGTTATTCCTGCTTGACGCCGTCCACCCGTTCGCTTTGTGCAGGGCCTCATCCGTCACTTCCGCCCGGAGCTGGAGGAGAGGATGCGACGCTACGAGGAGTCCAAAGCGCGAGCGGCGTCAGCTTAAGGACAACCTGGAGTGAGAGGAGTCCACGCAGGGCTGCTGGCACGCGCGGCCCTGCCTTTTCCTGCTAGTGGGCATTTGTCACATGCGAGTGGCTCCCTGCAGCTGTTCGGGGGGTAGTGGGACCCCGCTCCTGCGCTGGTGGGTTCCTCAATAAACACCGCTGTGCTCACAGGCTCTTTCCTTTCTGCGAATACTGGCCGGAGTTGTAAAATCCTGGCAGCAGTGGTGGGAAGGGACGGCCAGAGGGCTCTTGCTCTGGCAACTGGAGTAGGACAACTCCAGGGGGGTCCAGACCCCTGCACTGTTCTAGCAGGTACACGGAGGAAGAAATCATTAAAAAACACAAT